GTGTGTTATCCACTCACACACTACCTGATAATGGTCCAGGATGGATCAAAATGTCATCATTTCTTCATCTTCTGATGGTGCTTTGGTCATCAAGCATTACTTGGATCCATTAGAAGTCTTCCTGAGAGTTTAATACATTCATGGATATTGCTTTCAGAAGTTTGCTATAATCTCTAATTTTCGACAATTGAAAGAGGGTGAGCATCTTAGGAAATAGGTAAGCCTGTGAGAAGAGTTAGGCACCTTGTGAGGAGGTACTGTACAAAAAATTTTGGGCATCCATAACACCTGCTCTTTCTTCTACCCTCCTCAGGTCATTCAGTTTTTCTATGAGCATTACTATGAGCATGACTTTAAAACCCATAAGTGCCCCTAGCAGTGGGGTCGATAACTGAGGCTTTTGGTAAAGAGGCTCTTACCATGTCTATGGTTGATTGGTTAAAGGGAATGATTTTGCCTTTTACAGGATTGAGGGTGAGTCTTAACTCCTCTTTGTTAGATTTTATTAGATGTAGATTCTCTAGCAGAGACTCTTATGTACCTGCCAGAGTGCCATCGTTTAGTAACTAGATGTTGAGTTCATTGGTCAATCTGCTTTTGACCTCCCCCAACAGGTATGAAAAAAGGAAAGGAGTGTGGAGCTCTCCTTGCTGAACACCGGCATAATTTAATTCATGCTTCTGCCATAAAAACATTGAAAGAATTTTTAAAATCAAGTTTTGTTTCCACATTATTGTGAAGAAGGTCATTGATGTATGATTATAGAAATTCTTCTCAGGCCTGCTGGAAATCAAATCCTGAGCATCTGAGAAACCCTGGTTCCATATGTCCTTGGATACAATGCAAAAAAGTGGTAATCAGTTTTATATACATGTATTTATTACCACACCGTGGGTTTCTGTAAGCCATTGCTCCTCGTGCCTCTCTTGAGGCAGCCAGGTTCTGGCTCGTGGTTCCTGGTAGGCAAGAACTCCGTGCACATTGACTGATGCCAGAAAGCTATACATGTACATTTAGCCTAGATATCCCCAGAAAGTTATTCAACTTCAAAAGACTGATATGTGCACCTGAAATTGGAGTTATATATCCCAAGAAATCACATATTGTATTTAATTAAACTCTTTATGATTAAATAATAAAGTTAATGTCCTCTAATATGAGAAGCATAATCTCTGCATCTGTAGTTGTATACTCCAACACCTTTCAACATGATGAAAGAAATAAGCCACTTACCGTTTGTCATTGGACTGTCAATTACCATTATTTTGTCTACCTGTTATATTACCATTATTTGTCTACCTATTATATTTCCATCTTTGTTTATATAATTAATGAGCTTTATCTTCTGAAATCTGTCTGTTGGTTAATATATGAAGAAAATTTGAACAATAACTACTGTACTGGACTAAATCCTGCAGTTTTTGTTTCATATACAGTATCTTAAAGTTTAATTCAGTTTTAAATTATTTTAAATTGCAAAATATCTATCCATAAATTGAAGTTAAGCATACCATATTGTCTCAAACATATTTCTTCATAATTACTCTGTACTAAAATCTTCTCGGATATCTACCCACTACTTTAAGATACACTGTTCGGGCAAGATTTGATATTTATACATACTGTACTATATTATATCTCAGAGTAAATGATGTGCTGTAGTACCATCCCTTGTACATGGCTACTTTTATAGAAAGAGAGAGAGAGAGAGAGATAGAGAGATAGAGAGAGAGAGAGAGAGAGAGAGAGAGAGAGAGAGAGAGAGAGAGAGAGAGAGAGAGAGAGAGAGAGAGAGAGAGAGAGAGAGAGAGAGAAAGCATGTTCATATACAAACAATACATTCATTCATACTGTATGGTCACACACATCTTTTATATATATATATATATATATATATATATATATATATATATATATATATATATATATGTTCTTCACATATATATCATACATACATGCATGCATACATACATACATACATACATACATACATACATACATACATACATACATACATACATACATACATACATACATACATACATATACAGTACTGTACATTATTTATTTATAATGTATACAATTTTATAGATCCAGAACATGCCTTACAGTTCTATAAATATTTTGACATTTGCTTATGCCTTCAACAGTTCCCATTATATGTTCAGTTTCAAGTCACATTCAGACTTTAAACGTTGACTGGTTATGGTTATGATGAGTAAGCTTTAATTAATTTTTGTGTGTATTAAACTAGAATTCATATTATAGTATTGTTATTTTGAAATAATAATTTTAATAATTTGAAAATATGGATGCAATACATAAGAGTTCTTATAAATTATTTATGTTAAAGGTATACAGAATAGCTTGGCATATGTAAGGACACAACTCCATACATAATTAGATATGTGATGTTTATATCATGATAAGATATAAAATATGGGATAATAATGGCTTTATTTACAAATAATAATAATAATTTATGTGCAAGAAGGTACAATGGGTTGGTGAGATTACATAAGATTGGTATTTATACATTCATGCAAAGCCACTAACACGCATAGCGTTTCAGGCTGGTCCTTAATCTAACATATCAGGTAAGATGAAAAGGTACATTGTAGCAAGGTTTTATATCAACAGATACAATATAAATTGACCGAGGTGTATCTATAAATTTATAATTGGACTACATCACAGATATAAAGAGAATCTGACAGAATTTCTCAAATCTTAAGAAATTATTGCAATGGGCATTTAATTTTAGCATAAAGAGATTTGTTAAGTGTGAGCACAGAGATATCTGTAAAGTATGAGCAGAGAGAGAGAGAGATCTCTCGTATTCACACTTAACAGTGTGAACACGAGAGATCTGTTAAGTGTGAACACAGAGAGAGATCTATTAAGTGTGAACACAGAGAGATCTGTTAAATGGGATCATAGAGATTTATTAAGTGTGAATACAGACAGCTCTATCAAGTGTGAATATAGACAGATCTGTTAAGTATGAGCACAGAGAGATCTATTAAGTATAAACATATACATCATATTTGTTAAGTGTGAACACACAGCAGATCTGTTAAGTGTGAACACTCAGCAGATGTGTTAAGTGTGAACACTCAGCAGATCTGTTAAGTGTGAACACACAGCAGATGTGTTAAGTGTGAACACTCAGCAGATCTGTTAAGTGTGAACACTCAGCAGATGTGTTAAGTGTGAACACTCAGCAGATCTGTTAGGTGTGAACACTCAGCAGATGTGTTAAGTGTGAACACTCAGCAGATCTGTTAAGTGTGAACACTCAGCAGATGTGTTAAGTGTGAACACTCAGCAGATCTGTTAAGTGTGAACACTCAGCAGATGTGTTAAGTGTGAACACTCAGCAGATGTGTTAAGTGTGAACACTCAGCAGATGTGTTAAGTGTGAACACTCAGCAGATGTGTTAAGTGTGAACACTCAGCAGATGTGTTAAGTGTGAACACTCAGCAGATGTGTTAAGTGTGAACACACAGCAGATGTGTTAAGTGTGAACACTCAGCAGATGTGTTAAGTGTGAACACTCAGCAGATGTGTTAAGTGTGAACACTCAGCAGATGTGTTAAGTGTGAACACTCAGCAGATGTGTTAAGTGTGAACACTCAGCAGATGTGTTAAGCATGTTGACTATTGTCTGCCCCAGTTGAGAGGCGGGGATTATCAAGACATAATGGAGGGTGTGGCAAATGCACCACCAACCCAATTTTGATTATTCTTCAAGTAAAAAATAGAAATAGAAAAAAAAATATGGGAAATTTTATATTCAGTTTTGTATGAGATCAGCATCAAAGTACTGTACAATATGATGATAATGATTATAAAAATAAATATATATTTACAGTGAGCCTTATGTGACTTTATGTAACTAAGTGTTTTAATTAGGCAATATGCAAAAGACTTATGTTAGCAAGCTTATACCAGTACCGAACTAGTTTATAAATGAGGAAGAAAGAATTTGAAATAGATTTAGCTCTTGCATTTGCAGTAGTGAAGGTCTCATAACAAAATATTTATGAGTTTCAGGTAGCTGTATTACAGCATAATATTTCACCGGTTCTTAGGTGTTGGTTAACCAATGCCACTTTTGGATCGATCTCTGCCTGTTTCTCTTCATTCTTCCCAAGTTGCTCTTCTTTTTTATCTTTGTTTCCTTTGGCCTTGTAACTGTGGTTCATGATCTGGTGTGGCCTCATTACAGGGCGCCATCCTGACGACCATGCTTGCCACTGCGTGCAACTTCTCTAGTAAGTCTGTGGGAATGCTTGTATCAGATTTTCCAAGTTTGTATCTTTTTATTAACATTACTCCAGTTTTTCCTCTTCTTTATCTTTGTTCCTGAACATTTTCATTCCCATCTTCATCTTTTCAATATTCTGGGTTTACAGGCTGCTGCTGGATCTGCGCTTATGTAGTCATCTGTTTAATTTATACAGGATTAAACAGATCAGACCAGTTGAATATTAAACCTGAATGTCCATAGTTATCCTTGTGTTTGTTTTGTGAGTGATATACAGGGTTAATATTCAAGATTGGCTTGTCCTATGTCGTATTTTGTTACATATCACGGTTTGTCTTTTAACTTTACTACTTTTTAACACGTGTGATGCTTTATTTTTATTTTACTGACCTCTTCTGCTCCGTCTGCGATCTTGGGTGCCTGGTCTACAGCCAACAGTTCCCCAACCAACATCCTTACCCTCACCCACTCTCCATAATACCTAATGCTTCACTTATCATTCACTTCTTCTATTTTATTCCTTAAGATTTACCATATCTTGTGCTGTTCCTGCTTTATGTTCAAATCTTTGTAAACTATCTTTAGTACTGTAACTCTCTATACTAACTCATGCTTCAAAGCTCTTCATTATTATTTTATCCTCCACATTCCTTCCTGTATCTCTCAGTCCTCCTACTCCCTATCCTCCTGTTCCTGTCCGAGCCCTTACCGTTGGTTGCCGTGTTGCAGGGTGCGATCCTGACGACAATGCTGGCGACTCGCAACTTCTCCAGTAAGTACGAAGCACAGGGTAAGTGGGCATCCCATCTAGGCGGCAGTGAGACCCTACCCACTCTCCCAAACCGACTGGCTCTTGGTTCTCCTTGCCCAGTTTAGGCCTTTATCCTTACTCACTCCAAGGTAGTGTTGTGCATTTATGTCATAGAATTGTTAGAAACTGAAAAGTCAGCATAGCACTTGAATTGGAGTGGGATAAGTAGAACTAGTCTCATATCACTTATGGAAGTACTGAAGACAGTGTTACTGCAGTATATTCAATAATTAATGCACACATCCTTGCAGAAGAAATAACACAAAAGTATTGGTACAGTATGTAGAATTTGCATTTTTCTTAAGGACCACATAACTTTTATTGCTAGGCTGGTCAGGATGAGGAACCGGGGCCAGTGGTATGAGCACTCCTTATATCAGATTTTTGCACTCCTTTGGGTCATGATCCTTGTAAATTTATAAATTATCAGTGTATTTGCCCTAATGGCTTATGGTCATTTCACTCGTGGCCTCTATAGTAGAAAATAAACAGACACACCTGTGTTGATGCTTAAAATGCATTGCCTCAGACATAAAAGAATAGCCTGTCACACCTTTAGTATTAAAACACCAATATGATGGAACATTGCAGAGACCTGAATGAACAGAAGAGCATATATTCAAAAATAGTTTGGTTATCTTTTTAGTTTCATAAAGGCTTAGTGGTTGATAACTGGTACACAAAGCCCTGAATAAGTGTTCAGGAAGTGGCATGAAACCACAAAGAGAACAGCATCTTAATAGGCATCATGAGAGAGTATTTACTATTTTTAAAAGCACATAAATTATACTATTGTATAGAAAAAACATTGAGAATAGGAACTTTTTGTGGATACTGTTTCACTCACATTAAAACTTTCTATTGGCGGTGTTTTTATCAACACTGTCAGATAAATTACACTAAATATAGATAAATTACACTAAATTAGCATTACCTATAAGTATTTAAATTTTAAGCCAAGTAGGCCCTTTGTTGTTGATTGTAGAACTAATTTAAACCTTTATATGGAGTGGGGGACAGGGTGACGTATACTGGCAGGACAAGGTATTTTAACTGGAAGAGGTAAAAAGCCTTAAATACTAGGCAGTAGTTATAGATACAAATGGAAATATTCAAGGTGAAATAAGAGAAAGGGTAATGAATGGAAGAGTGGTTGGAAAGTTGGATAAAATAATTACAGAAAGGAATGTTAATATGAAACAAAACAGTAGTAAGAGATCTTGTGATAATGCTGATCATTCTCATAGAAAGTGACAAGGTGGCAAACTTGGCAAGTGGTTCCAGAAAATCTACGAGAAAACAGCGTGGAGACAAAGGGTAGGAGACAACAAGTGGTCAAAATGTTCAAGGAATGATGGAATTAATGGGAGGTTTATATCTCTGGTACCATATTATTCAAGGGGACTGTTTGATTTATTAGGAACATTATATACAGTATATATGGCAATAAAATGTTATAAGGCCAGATTGATTAAGAAAAATAAATAATTTATGTAAATTTATATAAACTAACCCAATTATAAATGTGCAAAACAAACATTTATGAATAAAGATTAGATTAGATTGATTGATTGATTGATTGATTGATTGATTGATTGATTGATTGATTGATTATGTGTTTGGCAGCATAATATTCAAGGAATAGGTTGATTGGGAGATTTTAGGTCACTATAATGTTCAGGAGACTGATTAATTGATTTGAAGGATTATGTCTCTAGTAACATAATATTCAAAGTAATGATTGATCAATTTAGCATATAATGTAACTGGCATTATAATGCTCAAGAAATTGATTGCTTGTGAGAATAATGTTTGTGGCACTGTAATGTTTAAGGGAGTGGTTGACTGAGTGGGGGGGAATTGGGGGGACTGAGTGGGATCCCAGTCTATTGCAATCCCTAGAATTGCAATAGTCTTGGGACTGATTGATCAATTGGGCGGATTATGTCCCAAATATCACCATAGTCAAATGACTGATTATATGGGAGGATCAAAGGAGTAATTGTGTCTCCGGTACCATAATGTTCAAGAGACTGACTGGTTGATTGAGAGGATTATGTATCTGACACTACAGTATTATGATAAAGAAACTGATTGAAATAGTGGATGATAGAGAAAAGAGAGTGTATAATTAGGTTAATCTATGCTATAAAAGAGAATGTCAGTCTTGTCTCTCCATCTGGAGTTGCAAACCAGATGTTTGGGGCTAGCCTCACTCAAATTTGCAGGGATAATTGCCTGGTGTATGGGACATACATAGGCTGGTCGGGGTAGGCCTAAATTAAATGCGTTAAGAATTATTAATAATAATAAAGACCCTTACTTTATTTTCTTGGCCTTAAGGGTGAGAGGCAAGTGTGAAATATGGTATGTAATTAAGGTGCAGGTTTTAATGCCATAATAATATAAGTTCTTAAACTCATACAGTTCTTTCAGTGCTTCTTAATAATATATTTTCTGAGAGATGAAGGAGAGGTGGGGAAGGAGGAGGGGGAGGAGAGGGACATTGGAAGGGAAAGAATGTGGGGGCAGGAAATGGGGGGAGGATGTGGGAAGGGAAATGAAGGATAGTGGAAGGGTGGATGGATAGATATAGATACTGTAGATAGATGTACAGATAGATGGATAGATAGATATATAGATAGATGATAGATGATGGACAGATAGATGGATAGATGGAAGACAAATAGACAGATCTGTACAGTTCTACGTATCATCCCTGGTATGAAATAAGTAAAAGCAAAAATGGAAAGTATGGAGAAAGTGAGTGAGCATGAGAGGGATTCCGTATGTAGGAATATATATATACTACAGTATTAGAAAATAATTAGTGTAAGCACACTGCTATGGTACACAAGCTGTGGTGGAAGTGTTCCACACTGCTGTGGTACACAAGCTGTGGTGGAAGTGTTCCACACTGCTGTGGTACACAAGCTGTGGTGGAAGTGTTCCACACTGCTGTGGTACACAAGCTGTGGTAGAAGTGTTCCACACTGCTATGGTACACAAACTGTGGTGGAAGTGTTTTACCACTACAGTTCTTGTGTTTCCTCCGTGCACAGTTTTAGCCGTTGCAGTGCATCATGTTACCTCTGGTGTCTGTCGTGTTCCACATCATATGGCAAGGAATCTTAAGAACCATTTGTGACCAACTAAGTCGCATAAGTGGTGTGACAGGGCACTCTATTATAGTACAGCAGCAGCATCACTTCACAAACTATTAAGAATTCACATTTAAAATTCGTATAAGTGATTCCAGAAAATGTTACTGTACTAATGGTGCATTTATTCACATTTATTTAAGACTAAGAGTGCACTGTAGCACATTTGGTACATCTGATATCAGTTAATTTAGGAAGTCTTGTCTTCAGAAAGAGTTCCTTAAAAAAATTATTGAAATTGAGATAATTATATGTAATACTAAAAATAATTATTTACCATACAACATCATGAATTCACATGCAATATTTTGTATCCTACCCTTTAACTAAAGTAAAATAAATTACTCTAAAGTTTACTTTCTCTTAAACAGTTGTTTAAAAATAATACACAGGTTGTATTTTTAACTTGATGGCAATAACAATACATATATATATATATATATATATATATATATATATATATATATATATATATATATATATATATATATATATATATATATGTATATATATATATATATATATATATATATATATATATATATATATATATATATATATATATATATATATATATATATATATATATATATATATATATATATATATATATATATATATATATATATATATATATATATATATATATATATATATATATATATATATATATATATATATATATATATATATATATATATATATATAATTATTGTATAAACTTCACCCAGTGCCATTTTCTCACATTTTTGTCTCTGTTGATCTGTGTGTGTAGCAATAGTGCCTTAATTGATTGATGTTGTTGTGTAGATAAAAAATGTGTAGTTTAAAATATAAATTTTATGGGTTGTATTTTCAAGTTTGTGTGTATATTATTGACTTCATTTATATACTCGTAGCAATTTTCTAAAACTAATCTTTCATAAATAATTGAGCATCATATAATGATGTATTAGATAATACTTGGCATAATTTCCTAAATTTAAAGGTGTACAAGTATTTTTATTGCTATAAAACATAATACTCATCTTAACCTCTCTCCATTTAACTTTTTTATATTCTACTGTGTGTAAATAAAATATATATATATATATATATATATATATATATATATATATATATATATATATATATATATATATATATATATATATATATATATATATATATATATATACACAGCATCTTCAGTGTGATATTTCTGCAGGTGTTTGCTTGTGATATCTATGTTATGAAGGTGCTGGACACTATATGAGGGATTGTATGATGGCATTTACACAGTGCGAGTCATGTCACAAATGACCACTCAAGATGAGGTAGTGAGTGCTCTTAGATATAAATGCAGTCATTGTAACCCTTGTCTTAGTGTGCAGTATATGATAATAGCTTTTGTTGATGCCTATAACATAATTGTCTTGGAAGTGCAACCCTTGTAGTAGTCTGCTGATACACAATTATGAAAATACTGTACAGTAATTGATACATATTGAGAAGTAACATATATTATAAAAATTTTATTTAGGTTTTGTTATTCTACTTTAAATTTGAAAAATATTAATGCAGAGGAAAATTTGAGTTAGAATTGATTGACAGTGCAATCTTAATTTGCTTTACACATCTTGTGATATTAGATATTTTAGATTAAAATTAATGTAAGGATACTCTTTGTGGGAAATATATAACAACCCGCGTTATTGAGAAGAGTGCCAAGGTGCCGACCATGAGGGAGTGCCGGTGCCATTGACCCAAGGGTATCACTGCAGTCCAGGAAGGAATGCCCACAATATCCACCACATTTGT